TGTAGGCCATGGCGGATGGAGTGTAGACCATGGAGGTGGAGTGTAGACCATGGAGATGGAGTGTAGACCATGGAGGTGGAGTGTAGACCATGGAGGTGGAGTGTAGACCATGGCGGATGGAGTGTAGACCATGGGGGTGGAGGTGGAGGCTGGGCCTTCGGAGCAAGGACACTGCAGTGTGCTCTGTGTGATTTGGAGTGTGGTCAGGGGAGTGGGGTGTGAGTGTGGCCGTGTCCCCCTGTGTCCTGCCCTGCACTAGCCACTCTCCTGCAGTTTGAGGACCACCCCCTGTCAGGCCCTGGGTTGTGCTGGGTGCCCTGGGGGCACCTGCAGTGCAGACAGTGCTCAGGGGCAGTGACAGGAGCCTGGCCACATGCTGCTGGGGACTCACTTACCCCTCGGGCCAGGCTCCGTGCTGGGTGGCTGGATCTGAGGTCCCCTGGGCTCTCACAGCTTCCCACCTCATGGCTATGCACTCACGGTGTGTCACCCTTGTGCCAAGGACTGGTGCATCTGTGGGCCGTGATGAGGGAAGTCTCAGTCTCCCCCTTGTTCAGGGGCCACACCTGCCACCTCTCAGGGGTGACGGGCAACTCAGGGACGTCCCCAGAGAATGGCCCATGCATGCCCAAGAGTGCCCAGGAAGCAGCAGGCCAGAATCTGGGCCTCAACCTGGTGGCCTTGGTGGAAACTGCAGGCATCCAGGGGCCTCCAGGCTGCCCTTGCCCAGAGGGGCCCCCAGAGAAGCCTGGGATTGACATGATGCCACAGGTGGCCTCCCAAGAGGACCTTCCAGATGACCCAGTGTCCCAGCCTTCTCCCAAGATGGCCTCTCTGGAGCCCCGGGCCCCACCACTCCTGCCTCACCGCCCCCATGGGCCTCGCCCCACCGGCCTCACCCTCACCTTGGGTCTCTAGCTGGCCCCCAGAGCCTCGGGCCTTTTCCACAGCCAGATCCTGCCAGAGGAGGATGCTGATCTGAGGGAGCCTGCGTCAGCTAGCGGAGGACCCTCACTGGCCCCTCC